TTTTTTTTCCTAAAGAGCTTCCAAGGAAGCTATAGACATTTTTCTCTTTGCCATCAAAGTTAGAAGCAAAATTTTATGGTTTATCATCTGAAAGAAGTGATAACTATTTCAAAATCATTTGGGACAGAATAGAGAAATTATGCCAAAAAGTAATCCCTAACGATTGCAAAGTGGGAAAAAATTGTTTTAAGAAAAAAAGTTTTCATGTTGATTCAGATAAAACATTTCCCCTACTACATAAAAAAGGTATAATAAACCTTTATTTTGAATAAATAGTAGTCATATTGCTAAACTTGTATTTTCAAAAACCAGTAATAGCTGGTTAATAAAATGAAAGAAATTTCAGAAACACTATCTTGTGGAACAGTATATTAAATGAAGCGAAACATGTACAAGAATTTTCAGTGCTCCTGCCTGCCATGCCCAGACCTCCACACACCCCAACTGTCCTGGGTGAACCACAGGGCCCTCCTCCTGGCCACAGCTGATTGGACTGAGATGGGTACCGTAAGCTTGCCCATCACCTTGATTTCGGGCTGGGCTCAAACAGTGAGATTCTCTCTCAGGCATTTGAGTTAAGTGACTTACAGTGAAATGACCCTCTACCACTTGAGGGGCAGAGTGGCAGAGAGCACTGCAAACCCGAGAGGTGGGGATGGAGGAGGCCCTGAGGGCTGGGCCTCCAAGCGAGCCCAGGGAAGCCCAGCCCATGCAGAAAGGCCATCCTGGCTTCAGGCCAAAAGCCTGCTCTACTGAAGGTCAGGAGCACAGCCTGGAGCATGGAAGTGCTCTCCACCCCGTCTGTCTCCCCTAGTCTTTGAGAGCAGTCCTTGTATTGTCTCCTGTCCTACAGTAATGTTTGCCAGACTTCCTGATAAATGGGTTAATTAGGATCAGAGGACAGTTAGGAAATATCTGCTGGGTGCCAGATGTGATGAGCATGGTAGGTACTGCAGGAGAGGACTCTTGGCCTCTTTCTGGATCTCCTGGAAGATGGCCAGAGTATTGGTCGGGAGAGGCCTGAAGAAAACTGAGACAGCCTTGAGAAGCCTCAGAAGCCAGGGGCTGAGGACAGGGGCCTGTTAGTGTAGACAGTCATCCCTAGGAGAGCATCCCCATGAGAGCCCAGTGCCTCGGTCCCAGTGCTTCAAAGACTCCCACCATCTGGCCTCATCTACTCCTGACAGGCCTCGGGACACCCAGCTGGCTGGGGTCCATGTCCTCACACACCATGCCCCTCACTGCTGTGCCATCCACCTCTCACCAGAGCCAGCCCTGCTCAAGCTTCAAGGCTTGTTCTAACCTCACTTCTCCCAGGCAGCCTTCCCCACCTTTGGAGGCTTTGGGCCTCCATTCACTCTTGCATTTGTTAACTCAGGAAAGGCATGTGGCCTGAACCCAGGACCCCCCGCGGCCACAGCACAAAAAGAACAGGACCGCCACTGCCCTTGATTCCCACACCAGGCATGTAGGCCCTCCTCACCCCATCTTTTGCCTCATTCCATGACCCATCCCCCAATGAGAAAGGAGAGCCACAAGAAGTCTTTTCTCCCTCACCCATGCCCGAGTTTCTGGTCCTCCTCCTCCTGTGTTCAGAAAGCCTGTGGTTTCAGCTGTTCTCTTTCATTCTGCCTCCGCAAAGGTACAGGATGCTTCTCACCTCCACCCACCCCCAGGGACACTCCCGTGTCTCCCCCAGGTAGCCAACCACCCTTTAACAACACATTTAGCGCTCAGGTGTGTCGAGCCCATGATTCTTAGTAAGCTTGGTAAGCTGGCAGCTCTCCTGGAGACCCCTCTCTTTCTCAAGGGATCACAGACTTGGTCCCCTCGGTGACCGCTGAGTCTCTGCTGCCCTTCCCACCCTGCTGCCCCCTGCCGCTCAGGCCTCAGCCTTGCCGCTCCCTTTCCCTGTAGTATGAGAGGCTGGTTCCAGGCCTGGAGTCTGATGTTCTCAGTGATGGGTGGAATTTCTGATTGCTTAGACATGAACCACAAGAAAGGCCAGGGCATGCTAAGCCAAGCTGTCTCTTGCTGCAGTGGAATCCCCATCTTACCGCCTTCAGTGTAATTTGCTCTTCCTCCAGGAAGCCTCCCCGACTACACTAAATCTAACTCCCCTGGATCTGCCAGTTCTCTTCCAGAGAAGTTTGAAGCTCACAAGTGATTTTGTAATGTGTTCAACTTTTGCTTCTCTATAAAACCTTTGTATATGTATAGAACGGTGTGGTTATGTGCTTCCCCAATATTCAGCAGATATTTCCTGATCACCTACTACAATGATCACCTACAATGCTGTGCCAAGCATTGTACTTGGTGCTGAGGACAAAGCAGTGAGCAAAGCGAAGCATGGCTGCCCTGCCATGGAGCTTACCTGGTAGCATGTTGGGCGAGACGGAGCAAGCAGCCAGGCTTGGTACAGTGTGAATGGTGTTGAGTGGGTGGCAGGAGGTTTTAGGAGCAACATGGCAAAAGCACAATATCAGAGATGCCAACCGTTTCTTGTTCCACCCAAACCCTAATCTGAGGAATCTTTGGTCCAAACAGCCATATTCTGTATGAGCCACACAACCCCAGAATAAAGGAGACCCGACAAAACAGGCCCTTAGGTCAAGCTTAAGCACGGATTGGGATTCGCCAGGGGAAGCCACTGGGGATGTGAAGGATCAAGCAGACTCAACCACCATGAGAGGAGCAGGAGGGAGTCTCCTGGAGGTAAGAGTGTTTGTCCCCGTGTGAGGGAGACTTCCAGGGGGCTAGGCCCCACAGCTGCAGTCACTGTCGCGTGAGCAAAGCAGTAGACATTTGATTAAAAAAAAAATCAGAAGAGCTACGTTTGGTTTGAACAATGTACATTTTCCCATCCCTCCTTCCTTCTTCTTATTTCTCAGTTTATTCTCTCTCATATTAAATTTTCTTCTAATTGCCAAGGAAAGGAATTTTCACGACAGAAAATTTTTCTGTACACTATAAAGCAAAAAGAGCTACATAAAAATTCTTCAAAGTTCTACCACTCAGATATGATTATTGTAAACTTGGTGTTACTGATTACAAAGAATACTTATTGAGCTCTTTCTAGATACAAGGCACTGAGACTTACCATGTGTTATTTTATTTAGTCCTCATGACACTCATGCAACTCAACCTGGCAGATAGAGGAGGACACTGAGGCACGGTCTAAGTAGAAGGCAGACTGCAACATGAATCAGGGCAGGTGATAAGCAAGCTGAATGATAGGCAGTGTTCCGTTTTTGTTGTACATATTTATGGTCTTAAAAAAAGATCATAAACAAATATGGGCTCCTGTTTCTTTTTACAAATATACTTTGAAGAAATTTTAAGTAGAACATAGTCATACTTAATGCACCTTATACAGGTCCAATCATATATTTGTGCTGGAGAAAGTAAAAAATACAAGTGACTGTAACAAAGAAAACAAAAATCACCTGTGATCCTCCCACCCAAAAGACCACCGTTTACATTTAGAATCTATCCTCCTTTCCTGGAATGAATTTAGAACTAGGGACATAGCTGCAGCTCCTAAATAGGCAACATCACCCAGGGAGCCTTTTAATGAGCTGGGAAGCCGCATGAGCACACACTGGAGGATATGAGTTATGTTCGAAACCCTGAAGAACACTTCTGTCTGATGGCAGGTGAGTGTGTTACAGACTGTAAGGTGAAACGCTGCACAAAGTCTTTACAAACACCCCAGTGGCAGTGCAAGAGGAGCTGGGCTTTCTCCCCAGAGATGCATGAGCTGGAGAAGTCATTTCCTGTCTGAGCCTCAGTTTCCTCATCTGTACAATGAGCTGCTACCTTTCGAAAAATGAGTGAATGCCAGCAGGGTTTCATTTCTGGGTTATCGGCTGCATTTTAGGTGATTCCTGACACAGTTCCCACCCAGCTCTGGCACGAAAAACAAGAGGGCCAGTATTAATGAAAGAAGCTGGGGTCAGGGAACACCAAAGGCTTAAGGATGCCCAAAGGAGGGTGTGAGCGCTATTTCCCTGGAGGGCTGGGCCAGCCAAGCCGATTAGGGCCCCAGAGCAGCTGTGGGCAGAGGGAGGCCGCTGGGAGTGAGGGGATTCAAACGGCTCTTTCCCACCCTCTCCCCCACCAGCCTGCTCTGTGTAAAAATTCCAAACTCCCAATCAAACCCCCATCTCTTTCTTCTTTCATTCACCTGCCCATCTTCCTCTCCTCTTCTCTCCTTTTCTATCCAAACTCATAATTAATCGCTCAAGGCAAAAGTAATGAATGTTAATTGGCCATCTGTAGGAAGACTAATTAAAATCTACCACGCTGGGGTTTCAAACATACCTATAGCAACGGAGTGAATCGGGAATGAGGCGAGGAGGGACCGAGGTAACAGCTGAAAGACTGCAAAACACCATTGGGCTTAGGTGTGAGGGAACAACGCCAGACAGGGGCTGAGACACTGGAGAGAGGGAGAGGGAGACAGAAACTTACTGGGTTTATTCTTACCACTGCAGGGCCTGGCGTTTGGTGGCTTTCTGTTCTGTATTTAACAAACACATTTACACATTTCTTTCTCACTGGACATGGTTTAAGGGGTGGCTGGAGTTTGTCGACACACAATTGTCATTCCTTGGCCCCAGGCCTGAGCACACCCCTTTTTCCAAGCACACTTGCACCATGTCAAAATCACGCGCACACACCATCCCCCCCCACACACACACACTCCCACATATGCTGGCTGGTTAAATCTCTTGCACAACTTTGCACAGGTTCAGGCTAATCACATTATACACATGCACATTCAGTTATAACCTGAGAGCAACCCAGGGACATGTGGTGACACACAGTCCCAGGTAACCATGTCTGCACACTGTTCTATGCATGTATGCTTTAAGCATACAAACCAACTGTTATGCAGATATGAATACGGCTGTGCACTCACGGTAGTTTATACCTACACTCAAATTCACACAATTGTCTTCTAGATATGCACAGATGATACCCAGGCCCACATTTGCATGCATATACTGTTACCTGGCAAGTTTTACATCAAAAGTTTTATACACAGGTATACTATGGTGACTTACATGGTGAAGAATCTGTCTGCAATGCAGGAGACCCAGGTTCAATCCCTGGGTTGGGAAGATGCCCTGGAGAAGGGAATGGATACTCCAGTTTTCTTGCCTGGAGAATCCCATGGACACAGGAGCCTGGCGCGCTATAGTTCACGGGGTCACAAAGAATCAGACATGACTAAGTGGCTAACATTTTTCATGCATAAGCAGAGCCAACTCTTAATACTAAGGTGGCAAACAGTGACCGACACATACTAGGCTGGGGGCCAGGGCAGGCCTATGTATGATTCATATGTATCCACATATGTACACACGGAGACTCCGGCCCCAGGAAAGAACACACCCTGAATGATGACCACTCACCTTCTTGGGAACACAGAGCTGGTGCCACCGCAGCAAGCGCTTAGGCCTCATGTCCTCTTTCACTGCTTTGAGCAATGTAGACACCTACAACCTGCCTAGAATGGCCCATCCAACCTTCGGGCAGAAAGGATGGTGGATCTTGGGAAGGAGGGAGAGATGACTTGGGGGTTGGGACTGGCTTTGAGGAGGCAGGGCGGAGGTGAGGCTGCTGGTGAGTGGGATGGGTGGCAGGGCCTCTGGACTCTCCCCATCTTGATGGGGTCAGTTATGTGGGTGTGGGGAGGCTTCCACCACTGGGCCTGGCACTGTGGGAAGAGCTCTGACCTGGAGCGGGGTGCCTTCCACCAGGGCTTTTGTTCACTTAGTCTGAGAAGGCTGCCCTCCTTTCTGAACAGATTCGGAGGACTCTTCCTCATGACTGTAACATCCCGTTATGATAAGTGTATGAAAGCAGGAAGGAGTGAAAACACACGGAAAAGAACTTCCTGACACAGGGGGCCAGGGGTAAGAACCTGGAAAGGCTCAGTGAAGAGAAGGGAGCCAGCCTCCCCTGCTTCTCACCAGAAAAAGGTAAGCACCCTGGGCCTTATGCTCACACTCCCTGCTCAGGATCTGAGACTCTCAGACCTCTATGGCTCAGAGTCAGTGTCCCAGCACATCCCTAGGCCCAGTGGGGAATCCAGCTGGGAGAAGAGCCAGCCAGAGGAAGGCCATGGCTTTGGCCTTCCCAGAAGGAGCTGCAAGCTGGGTGCGTCCCCGGAGGTCAGGAGTCAGCCGCCAAAGGGATCCTGGCTCTAGTCAAAGGCTGCGAAGAACCCCTGAGGTCAGGGAAGGACAGCCATACAGGAGGCCAACACTACCACCCCTGTGGGATCCAGGCAGTTTGGCCACCCTTCCTCCCTACTGACAGATGAGGACACCCAGCGGCTCCAGTTGTCCGGGGCTGCATGGCTCTAAGAGGCCAAACCAGGCCACAGAAGCCAAGTCCGGTACTAGGCCTCTCCGTGTGCAGGCCGGGAGGGAGTGGGCCTGCTTCCCTGGGTGTGGACTTCCGGGAGAGCCTCCGGGTCCTCGGGGATCTCCCTCTGCCGGGCTGAAGGCCTCAGCATTCTCTGGGAGGAATAGGCGCACACATGCACACACTCCCACACTCACACACACAACCCTATGACAGCTTCTACATTTGGAGCTGACAGATGTGCAAGGTAACAGCTCCATGCCGCCTGTGCAGCTGAGGCCCCACGTCAGAGTGGGATTATTTCCAGCGAGGCTCAGGGCGGCTGCATGAGCGCAGGCCTGGGTGTGTGTGAGGGTGTGAGTGCGTGTGAGGGAGAGAGAGAGGAGGGAGAGTGTGTGCGTGTGTATGTGGTTTCTCTTACTCTCTCTCCTTCCAACTGAATCTGTCTCACTATGCTGCAAATCTTTCTGTTTTCCTCCGTGTTTGTCTGTCTTCCTCTTCTGTCCTGTTCAAGGTGTCTCAGCCATTCACCCTCGCTGTCTGAGTTTTGTCGTCTTGACTTGAATGCTTCAGAGAAGAGAGAAGACGCGCCTCCCCTCGACTCCCTCACTTAGCCCATCCCTTTCCTGCCACACCCAGCAGGCCTCGAGGACGGACTCTTAGAGAAAGCCCATTTTGTCTCAGAGGACGATGCGGGTGGTGGAAGCTGGGATGGTCACGAGGCTGAGAGCAGCTCCCTGCCCGACTCCTCGCCTTGGTCACTGTCTTCAGGCTTGGCCTTCTTCTCCTACTGAACCAGCTCACCCGCTGCTCATCACTTACGTGCAGGCCTCCCTTGCTTCCCAAATGTTCTGTCTCCCTCTTGTTATTCCCAACTCCCAGCACAAGCTCAGTCTGCCCATGGCCCTGGGCTGACCCCAAATCTGGACTCACAATGACCCTGACCTTGCCCGCGTATTAATCCTTAATTCTGACCTAGACTAACCCCAACTCTTAAGCCTGACTCTGTCTCTTGAACCTCCCCTTCTTTGGGGTTAGCTCCTTTGATCTCTGCCAGTATCACCTGAGTTTACAAGGTTCACAGCTCACTTTTTAAATTCATTAATTAATTTTCACAGCTCATTTTTTAGTACTGTAGCATTGGAGTGGGGACATACTTGGACCCACCGAATGGGACTCTGCAGTAAAGGAGGAACAATGGAAGAGTGATTTTTTTTTTTTTATTTAACTTTCTTGGTGATTCTGACACAGGCCAGTCCTGCCCATGTCCAAAATACACACACAAGGACTTGCCTTTAGGGATTCCAAGGGGGAATCCAAGGGGGTGGGGTTTAACCCCCCACACAGGGAAGGTTGGGGTGGGTGGAGGCTTGTCTGCCAGGCACCAGTCATCACACCCAAGCCCTTTTAAATGCTTCACTATATACCTGGCAGTGGGCCACTATGGCATTCACTTGCTCACTCATTCATTCATCCATTCACTCCTGTATCCCTTATCCATTCACTCATTTATCATCAAAGACTCAACAAAGCCTCAAAGAATTAGGTCTGCGTAAGGTCTGTGGGATGCACACAGCCCTTTGAGCCTTGGATCCCTGGGGTCAAACTGGGCCTTTGAAGGGCAGGACCTGACAGGAAAGGACTCCTCAGCAGCTGGACCAAGACCTGAACCAGAGTATGGACCAGACAGATTCCTGCGGCCCCAAGAGGAGGCACCAGGTCTCGAAAGTGGGACCTAGGCCCCTCTTTCCTTGCCCTGGGGGTGGGGATGAGGGACATGGGCCTGTGGGCTAAGAGACCACTAGACAGCTTGCAGGTCGGTCAGCTGAGGAATCGTCTGAGCCCCTGGAGTCAGTTGGGGGTAGCCCTGAGAGGTGGATCCCTCAAAGGAAAAAGGAGACTTCTTTTTCCCTTCCTTCCTTTTTCCAACTGCTTCCTGAAAGTCAAAGGTCAGGACCCTCTCAGCTCACACTAAGGGCAGTTAGAGCTGTGGGGTTGGGGGAAATGGGAGACAGAGGGGATGGCAGGGGAGTCTTACTGGAGTGGGATAATTTGGGGTGGGAGTGGGGAGGTGGGCTTTACTTCAAGTCTGAGGGAATGTCCAGCATTTAGCCCTGCCTCCCAGCACTGCAGGAAGAAGTCCTTGGGGCTGGGGCAGAGAAGCAAGGACAGTTCACTCTCTCCTCTGCCCAGCTACCCTCTAACCCCCCCTTCAGGGGCCCGAGGCTCACCGTGAATCCTCAGCTAACCTCCCTGCAAGCTGCCTGGTGTCTTCAGGCCCACTCCCCTCCCCGCCACCCCATCACTGGGTGATGCTGTGGGGGGCCCACCCCGGTGACCGGCAGTGCTTTCACCTACATCCCTGTCACCGCACAGGACCCCCGTGAGGTCCCGTGGTGAGGGCGCAACGCTGGGCACTGGGAACGGGAATTATTGCACACACGTCTGCACAGGAGGCCGTGTTCTGCGGGGAGAGGCTGGGCGAGAGGAGGCTGGAAGGCAGCAACCCCGAAGCCCAGCTCTGAGGTGAGGCCCCAGGGAGAGCTGGGGGCACCCTGCCCCAGGAGTGGTCCTGAGAGGCCAGGTAGGAACAGCTGCTCACATCCAGCCTTGGCCAAACAGTGGACTCAGGCACCAGCCTGTATTTTATTCAGGGGATGAAGGAGAGGAATTGGGGGTGGGGAGGGAGCTTCTGAGCAACTCAGTGCCTGCTGGTCACGCTCACCGACAGAGGTGGGTGCTGGGGATCCCTGGGGTGCGCCTGGACTATCCCCCTCCCCCGCTCCCACAGGCCAGCTGCTGGCCTCCAGCTCAGGGGTGTTAAACACAAAACCGAAAAACTACCAGCTCATTCACGCCACAGACAAAGAAAGCTTGTTTGTCTTTAGGCTAATCTGAGGCCCGCACGGCCAGCAGCTGAGCTCTGGGCACGTGCAGGCGTGTATTGTGAGTGTCCGAGTGCGCCCATGTGTGTGGCAGCTGAGGGCAGGCTGTGCACTCCAAGAACACACAGGGCTGCCCCGGAGGTGGCCGGAAGGCCTCCCTGCCCCAGGGGCGCAGGACCTGGGGAGGCTGAGTCCCCGCCAAGAAGCAAGGCCTGGGAAATCCCTACGGGCAGAGCACAGGGGTCACTAGAGGCCAGGAGGACCCGCCGGGGAGAGTGATCCCGGCTCTTCTGCCTCCCCAGCTCCCTGGGGGCCCCTGAGAGTCCAGAAAAGTACAGGCAGAGAGAAAGGTCTAGGGTCGTTTCCAAGGCTCTTAAATCCCCTGACTCTGAGCCGAGAATGTCAGGCGTGGGAGTGCGTTGCCACCTTGTGGGGACATGTGGTACTTCTCCCTAAGTCCTGGCCAACCAGCTTCCTGGGGACGGAGGCAGCCCCACTGGACATCAGACTTTTTGCTGGTGTCGATTGCCCTTACATTCCCTTGGGAGCAAGAGGCCAGGAGAGGAGCTCTGACCCACACTCACCAGGACAGAAGTAGGCTGGCTCAGCCCCACCCACAGAGGCCAATCTGATGACTGCAGATGCAGCCTGACCACACTTGAAGCACCTTAGAGAAAAGTTTGCAGGAAAGAATATTAGAGCTCGTCTATTCTAAGGAAACTGAAGCCCAGAGACAAGCCCCTGCCCAAGGCCCACAGGATCTCTATCATAGCGGGAAGTGAAACCGAGGGTTCGACTCCAAGACTCAGCATTTTCCTGAGGGTCTGGTGAATCCAGGACAAGCTGTCCAGACAGAATCCCAGCCCAAGAGGCCAGGATTACAGGGGAGGCAATGAAGGCTCTTGCCACATATCAGCGAGGGGACGGGCATCTGAGCCACATGGAGATGAGGCTACAGGATGGTCTGGATCTTGATACTATTAGTGCTAGTTGCTCAAGTCATGTCTGACTCTTTGTGACCCCATGGACTGTTGCCTGCCAGGCTCCTCTGTCCATAGAATTCTCCAAGCAAGAATACTGGAATGTGTTGCCATTTCCTTCTCCAGGGTATCTTCCTGACCCAGGGATCAAACCCAGGTGCTCCTTTACTGAGGACCCATCAGGGACACCCCATCTTGATATTAAAAGGCAATAAATAATATCAGCTTCTGTGGGCACTTACTGTGCTGAACATTTACAAACATTATGTCATTTAATACTCATGATGCCCCTTTGAGGGAGGCACCATTATAATCTGCTTTTTTCAGATAGGGAAACTGAAACAAGAGTAACTTGCTCTGGGTGGCAGAGCAGGGATCTGAGCACAGTGCCTTTGACTCCACCGAGGGCAAAGGCTCTGCTGGGTGAAGAAGGAGCATGAGTTGCCCCCTCCCTCCTAGGGGACCCAGCAGGGCACGGCATGCCAGCTCTAGCTCAGGGCCTGCCTCCACAGTGACCGGAGCCGCCTCCGGTTCCCCAGGAGGCATGGCCTCAGCGCGCCCTCTGCTGTGCACAATGAGGAACAGAGAGATCTGCCCGGCAATCAGAGGCAGGGCTGAGTCCCGAGATAGCTGGCAAGGCCCATGGGCTCTCTGACCAAATAAGGAACAGGGGCAAAGGGCTGGCTGGCTGCAGACCACCACCACTGCAGAGATCTCGGCCTGGCCCACACCTACTGATCTGCAGAAGGATCGCACCCATGGCTTCTCAGGGTTTTTCCCTCTGAGAATCTTGTCTACCTCCCAAAAAGGCATGTTGGTCCTATGCCCAACCCTCTGAGGGTCAGGGCCGTGGGGCAGATGAATGTTACCAGGAAGGCCCACGACAGGTCCTCTTAAGATCTGGGATCCAAAAAAAAAAAAAGATCTGGGATCCATCCAGAGCATTGCCATGTGGGTAAAGGGCAGAGTTTGGAATCTAAGAGAGCCAGGGAAACTACCTTTCCCCAAGGGCGGGGAAGCTGTAAGTCAGGCCCTAAAGGCAGGATACTCTCTGAATAGGTCAAGGGTGAGGAAAGGGTATAAGACTGGGGTAAGAATAAGCAAAGGCATAAGGAAGGCACAGGTGTCTGGGCAAGTCACCTAGGACAACTTTGTTTGAACCTGGGTTTGCTACTGAGTGGGGCTCTGTGAGAAGAGGCAGACAGCCCCAAGACGCCCCAGGACATGAGGGCAACACCCCAAGTTTGGATTAACTGCCTCAGGTACACCCCTTGGGTCGAGGAAACCAGGGAGTTAGTCATAGGACCTGTAACAGAAAACAGGTATTAATAAAGGAAAATCCACATTTTATTTGTATCTGCCTTTAACATGTACAGAAACTCTCAGGCTCCTTCCCCCATCTGGTGGATAGATGGCAGATTCCGGAGAGAGGAGGAATCAGAATGAGGACACAGAGTTCAAGTGAAGGTCTTGCTACCCTGGGCAAAGAGCATCCCTGTCCTCCTATCCCTCCAGGCCACCTGTCAATCTGTGTGGGTCCATCCCCCTTCCCCATGGACTGGTCACGGGCCGGAGGCCCATCCTCCTTTTCTCAGTGTTTTTAGCTTCCTGTCCTAGTTTTTCCATCCCTAAAATTCTATTTCTAGGGAGAAGGAACACCAACAGCCATGACTTGTCTCTCCCAAGTCCACTCCTAACTCACGGTGGTCAGTACAGATACCTGAAAACTGGGAACTCCAGCCACCCAGGGCTCTCGCAGCTGGCTGGATCTGAGGGCAGGGCAGTAAGCATGAGTGCTTATCTGTGTAAGGCAGGGTTGGCAGCGCCACTGTAGGGAGGCACAGGGCTCCTGGGTGGGCCTGTAAGAGGGGGAAGAAAGCCCCTAAAACCAAAGGCATGGTCTTATTCATCGTAGAAATCAACATGGGCTCCAGACTTGAACTTGTCATTTTGCAGCAAGCTCAGAAGTTTCTGGGCTGATATCTTGCAATCCACAAGTTCCCCCTTTCTCTTCAGCTCCTGCAGATGTTTTCGCAAGTCTGGGTCCACAGAGGTCTCCCGGGCTAACTGCTGCATGTCAGTGTCCAGGGGACCTAGGAGATGAAGTGCAGAAGATGAGTGGACACGGCTGAGGCAGGGGCCCCTGATCTATGTGTGGAGTTGGGTGGAGTCAGGTCTGGCCAGAGGCAATACCTCACCTTGGCTGACACGTGGTCAGCATCACCAAAGGCTCCACACTGTCACTGTTAAGCTCCAGACTCATCCAATGTCCACTGAACACAGTCCCCTTAGACTACCAAACCTACAGATTCACACTACCCCATCACTCCACCTCAAAGTCCAGAGCGGAGACAGACACCGTCCCTGTGGGGGGAGAATGAAGCGAGCAACCAACTTCTCAAGTGCTCCCGAGCCAGCCCACCCTAGCACCACGTCAACTCCCATGGCCCTAGGTAGCTCCCTGTGTGCTCCCCAAAAGTCTACGAACAATAAATGCTGGAGGAGGCTGTGGAGAAAAGGGAACACTCTGCACTGTTGGTGGGAATGTAAATTGATACAGCCACTATGGAAGACAGTGTGGAGATTCCTTAAAAAACTAAGAATAAAACCACCATATGACCCAGCAATCCCACTCCGAGGTTGGTTTCCTACCCTGAGGAAACCAAAATTGAAAAAGACACATGCGTCCCATTGTTCACTGCAGCACTATTTACAATAGCTAGAACATCAAAGCAACCTAGATGCCCAGTGACAGATGAATAGATAAAGAAGTTGTGGCACATATACACAATGGAATATTACTCAGCCATAAAAAGGAACGCATTTGAGTCAATTCTAATGAGGCAGATGAACCTAGAGCCTCTCATACAGAGTGCAGTAAGTCAGAAAGAGAAAGATAAATATCGTATACTAACGCATATGTACAGAATCTAGAAAAATGGTACTGAAGAATTTATTTGGAGGGCAGCAATGGAGAAACAGACACACAGAATAGACTTATGGACATGGGGAGAGGGGAGGAGAGGGCGAGATGTATGGAAAGAGTAACATGGAAACTTACATTACCATGTGTAAAACAGACAGCCAATGGGAATTTGCTGTATGGCTCAAGAAACTCAAACAGGAGCTCTGTATCAACCTAGAGGGGTGGGATGGGGAGGGGATGGGAGGGAGGTTCAAAAGCGAGGGGGTGTATGTATACCTATGGCTGATTCATGTTGACGTTTGACAGAAAACAACAAAATTCTGTGCAGCAATTATCCTTCAATTGCTGCTGCTACTGCTGCTAAGTCGCTTCAGTCGTGTCCAACTCTGTGCGACCCCATAGACGGCAGCCCACCAGGCTCCACCATCCCTGGGATTCTCCAGGCAAGAACACTGGAGTGGGTTTGCCATTTCCTTCTCCAATGCATGAAAGTGAAGAGTCAAAGTGAAGTCGCTCAGTTGTGTCCAACTCTTAGCAACCCCATGGACTGCAGCCTACCAGGCTCCTCCGTCCATGGGATTTTCCAGGCAAGAGTACTGCAGTGGGTTGCCATTGCGTTCTCCGATCCTTCAATTAAAAAATAAATAAATATATAAAAAGTCTACAAACAATAAATGTTGGAGAGGGTGTGGAGAAAAGGGTTAGAATCCTCTTGCACTGTTGGTGGGAATGTAAATTGATACAGTCACTATGGAAGACGGTATGGAGAGTCCTTAAAAAACTAGGAATAAAACCACTATATGACCCAGTAATCCCACTATTAGGAACATACCCTGAGGAAACCAAAATTGAAAAAGACACATGTACCCCAATGTTCGCTGCAGCACTATTTACAATAGCTAGAACATCAAAGCAACCTAGATGTTCATCAACAGATGAATGGATAAAGAAGCTATGGTACATATATACAATAGAATAATAATCAGCTATAAAAAGGAATGCATTTGGGTCAGTTCTAATGAGGTGGATAAACCTAGAGCCTATTATACAGGGTGAAGTAAGTCAGAGAAAGATAAATATCATACATTAATGCATATATATGGAGTCTAGAAAGATGGTACCAATGAATTATCTGCAGGGCAGCAACAGAGAAACAGACAGAGAGAACAGACTTATGGACAAGGGGAGAGGGGAGGAGAGGGTGAGATGTATGGACAGTAACATGGAAACTTGCATTACTATGTGTAAAATAGATAGCCAATGGGAATTTGCTGTGTGGCTAAGGGACCTCAAACAGGGGCGCTGTATCAACCTAGAGGGGTGGGATGGGGAGGGAGATGGGAGGGGGGCTCAAGAGGGAGGGTGTATGTATACCTATGGCTGATTCATGTTGATATCTGGCAGAAAACAAGAAAATTCTATAAAGTAATTATCCTTCAATTAAAATTAACTAATAAAAAGAAAGAAAGAAACGATAGCTGACAACTTCCCAAATCTCTGAGGAGATCTGTACATCCAAGTTTATGAAGCTATTATTTCAACCTCAAATTGTCTTCTCCAAGACATCAGGACTAGATGGTTTCACTGGTAAATTGTGTCTATTTTTTATGCCAATACCATACTAGTTTGATTACTGTGGCTTTGTAATATAGTTTGAAATCAAGGAGCATGATGCTGGGGATCTTTGTTCTTCTTTCTCAAGACTGCTTTGGCTATTGAGAGTTTTCTGTGGTTCCATATATATATTTTAGAATTGTTTGTTCTATTTCTGTGAAAAATGCCACTGGAAATTTGATAGAGATTGCATGAAATCTATAGATTGGGTTGGACAGTATTGACATTTTAACAATATTAATTCATCCAATCCATGAACATGGCATCTTTCCATTTTATATCTTCTTGAGATTCTTTCATCAGTGTCTTATAGTTTTTGGTGTACAAGTCTTTTACCTCCTTCATTAAATTTGTTCCTCAGTATTTTATTCTTTTGGATGCAATTGTAAATGGGACTGTTAATTTCTTTTCCTGATACTTCATTATTAGTGTATAGAAATGTAACTGATTTTTCACGTTGTTTTGTCTATTAAGATGATCATACAAATTTTATGTTTTGTTATTGTGGTATATTACACTGATTTATTTGCAGATATTGAACCATCCTTGCATCCCTAGGATTAATCCCACTTGATCATGGTATACAATCTTCTTAAAGTATTTTTGAATTTGGCTCACTAATAATTTTGTTGAGGATTTCTGCATCTATGCTCATCAAGGATTTTGGCCTATAATTTTCCTTCCTTGTAGTGTCCCTGTCTGATTTTAGTATGAGGATAATGTTAACCTCATAAAGTGAGTTTGGAGAGTGTTCCCACTTTTACATCCACTTGTCTAGCGTGCCTTCCACCTGCTGATACGGAAGCAGGCCTCAAGATCAATGTCCAGGTTAGCTGCCTCCAATAAAACCATCCCTGGTCATACCACCAGAAAGTGTTTCCTTCTTGAACTCTTACAAGTTCACTGTTCTTATTTTTTAAAAATATTTATTTATTTATTTGGCTGTGTCAGGTTGTGGCATATGGATTTTCAATCTCCACTGCAGCATGCTAGATCTTTTAGTGGTAACGTGTAGAATCTTTTAGTTGTGACAGGTATGATCTTTAGTTGCAGCATGTGAACTCTCATGTGGTATATGGGATCTAGTTTCTTAACCAAGGATCAAACCCAGGCCCCCTGCATTGGAAGCACGGAGTCTTAGCAACTGAACTACCACAGAAATCCCTATAAGTACTTTCTCACCTGGGGAACCACAGTGCCCCAGAATTTGGAGTCAATGGACCTCATGGGCAGAAAATCAAGGGATCTTGGACTTTGAAGAACCACCCTCCTGATCCTCAAATATCTTTCAATCAAATATCGGTGCATCCCCAGTAAGAAGGGATTTACTATCCTTCCAAAAAGTCCATTCCATCTTTGGACACCTGCTAGGACATTCTTTCAGAGGCTTGAACAAAAACTCAACTGGTCTCAGGCTTCATTCAGGCCCTAAGAGCCCCACAAAAAAGTTCAACTTTCTCACAATGTCCACGGCAGCTCCCTGAGACGTAAACCAGTCACATGGTATTCTGGAGTTTGTTCTGCTCCTGACTATGGTTTCCTTTTGCTCTCTGTTGATTGAGTCTGAGGCTGAGCTCAGAGTGGGTGCTATGTTGAATGTCAGCTGCAAGAATAACTGTATATATTTGGGAGGAAAAGAGGGAGGACTGGGTACTAGAGAGCATGAGGAAGTAGAAATTGCACTGATCAGGACCTTGGAGGGAAGGTTTGATCCGGGCTATGTTGCATCTGGGTTTTGATCAGGTTAATCTACCTCTTTGCCCCTAGGGTTCCTAGGGGAAAAGACTACTGGATCTCCATCTAAATTGCTCAGACATCATAAACCATCTTCTAATTCCAGCAACCTCAAGCCTAGAATAGAAGCCTCACTCTTAAGAAAGGGGTACAGTAGCATCATGGTAGAGATATGAGAAACCAGGCCAACTGTCACAAGACACCCCCCTCCTTTAAATTTCATGAGAATGGGGCCCTATCTTATTTATCACAGCATCCCCCAGTGTTCCAGCACAGTTCAGCATGGGATGACCAGCAGTCAACAATGTCTGTCTGCTCTTCATTCAGCTAAGATTCACTGCAGACTGGCTTAGTGGAAAAGCTAGGGACAGAAAGATCAATAGTGCATAATCCCTGCCTTCAAGGCTTTCCTATGCAGAGAGAGGCATATACACATTAAGATAATACGGTATGATAAGTCCTATTTAACAATTACAAACGCTAACAATTAGACAGTCCTTCACGGTTGGGATCACTTCCACAAGTTTTACCTCATTCAGTCCTACAAACGGCCCTGTGAAACAGGTAACATCTTCCCCATTTCACATGAAGAAATGAGGCACAGGCCTGGAATTCAAATCCAAAAATCCTAATCGTCTCTCAGACTAATATATCAGACTTCCTGTCCCCACCCTCAATTCCAGGCAGCTCCCCACTCTCAGTCCATATCCACTAGCTACAGCTTCCTGCCCCCACCAGCCCTAACTTCCTTGGAGCCTGTATTTCCCTTAAGGAGTGATGGGTCGTGATTCAAGGACAATATATTCTATATACAAGAGACAGAGAAGGCTCCTAGCCAGGTCCCCAAAGGGTAACCAGCCAGTTCTGAGAACATGGATGGCAGTAAAGCCTCACCTACCTGGAGCATAGCTCAGCACCCTCACACTAGGTTCTTCTGCCGCCAGGACCTGGAACATCATGTTACGGGCAGCCTTGCCAGCACAGTACAGTGCCCAGCCCTTGAAGGGCTGCAGGGCACAGATGGACGAGATGTTAACCACAGTCCTGCTGAGGCCAGGACTGTCCGGGAAGGCCTTCAGGATACTGGAAGTCAGGCAGAGCATGGAAGTCAAGTTCAGAGTCCAGTAGTTGTTCACTTCAGTTGGGTCAGCCAGGTCCACCCAACGTTTGGATACATCTCCAAGAGTGGCTGAAAAACAGACCTTATCAATCAACCAATGCAAGGCGGGGTTTTCTCGTCTTCCAGCCCTTTTCAAATTCATTCAGACACCCGCTTCCCAACCACACCTAAAGGAGGCTCTCTAGGGCTTCTGAAGACGCCTCCCTCTTCCCAGCCCTGCAGACTGACAAACGTGGGGAACCCCCTTACCCGACGCTTCAAACTGAGAAGGCGCATGCTCTGCTCTGGGTTCAGGGGAACTCTGGGGGCCATTTGGATAAGTGGGGGAAATTTACAACTGCGGGGAGACTCCATGCCCTAACTCAGGTCTCCACCAGAGGGCGCTGAACAAGAGGCTCAGAAAAGTTCCACAGGCATTCTGGAACAAATGGCGTTGAAACAGGAAGAGGGAGAGGGGAGAAGTAGGGAGAATGCGCCGCCCGGACAGCACTAGATCTGCCTCCACACCTCGCTGAAACCAGGACTTCCAGGCGTCTTTTCTGAGTCCTAGGAGTCACCTTTAAAGCTCCAAGAAGCGAGGGGGATGAAAGAGAGGGAAAACAGAACGGGACGCCAAGGAGTATTCCAAGCGCTCCCGGGCCCGCGGGCGTCTTACCCGCATTGTTGATGAGCAGCACTCGCCGCAGGCCTTCGGGCCTGGGGAGGTCGCACAGAGCACCGAGCAGTTGCTGCAAGCCGGTCTCGGCGCCCAGGTCGGCGGGCACCCGCACGATGCGCAGACCCAGCCGCTCGGCGCCCAGCTCGGCCTCCAGCTGCCGCAGGGCCTCGGCATTGCGGGCGCTTAGGACCAGCACGGAGCCGGGCGACAGCAACGGGGCCAGGAGTTGGGCCAGCGTCCGTCCGAAGCCCCGGGAAGCCCCAGTCAGCACGCATATAGTGCGGCCCAGGCCGCCCGCCTTGCTGACGCCGCCCTCCATGCCTCCTAGCTGCGAGCTGGAGCAGCTACCGAGGCCCGGCAGGGGCGGGGCGGGCGCGGAGGGAGGAGGAGGAGCAGCGTAGGGCGAGGGCGGGAACAGAAGGAGAGCGCCGGAGCAGGCCTTTCCTTGGCCGCAGGCGATGAAAGTGGAGGTGACGGCAAAATTGGAGCGCCAAGAGTCTAAATCCGCGGCAGGATCCCCACAGGACATCTTAGCCTAGTGCGGTCCGCGGGCCTCATCCTTTGCCCTGCAAACCCTTCAGTGCCCCTATGGAACTCAGTCTCCCGAGTTCAGACCTAACTTCCTTGTGTAAGGGATTAAGTAACTGTTAGTCGCTCAGTTGTGCCCGACTCTTTGCGAGTCCATGGACTGCAGCCCACCAGGCGCCTCTGTCCATGAGATTTTCCAGGCAAGACTACTGGAGTGGTTGCCATTTCCTTCTCCGGGGCATCTTCCCAACCTAGGGATCGAACCCCAGTCTCCTGCACTGCAGGCAGATTCTTTTACCGACTGAGCTACAAGGAAAGCTCAGTGTAAGTGATTCAGTCAGTTCAGTCGCTCAGTCTTGTCCGACTCTTTGTGACCCCATGAATCGCAGCACGCCAGGCCTCCCTGTCCATCACCAACTCCCGGAGTTTACCCAAACTCATGTCCATCGAGTTGGTGATACCATCCAGCCATCTCATCCTCTGTCGTCCCCTTATCCTCCTGCCCCCAATCCCTCCCAGCATCAGGGTCTTTTCCAGTGAGTCAACTCTTTGCATGAGGTGGCCAAAGTATTGGAGTTTCAAAGTATTCAGCTTCAGCATAAGTCCCTCCAATGAACATCCAGGACTGATCTCCTTTAGGATGGACTGGTTGGATCTCCTTGCAGTCCAAGGGACTCTCAAGAGTCTTCTCCAACACCACAGTTCAAAAGCATCAAGTCTTCAGCACTCAGCTTTCTTTATAGTCCCAACTCTCACATCCATACATGACCACTGGAAAAACCATAACCTTGATTAGACAGACGTTTGTTGGCAAAGTAATGTCTCTTTTTTAATATGCTGTCTAGGTTGGTCATAACTTTCCTTCCAAGGAGTTAGCATCTTTTAATTTCATGGCTGCAATCACTATCTACAGTGTGTAAGTGGTTACCTCCAGGTTAAGCCAGCATGCTTCTTGCTAGACATCTCTGCACGTGCCACAGTTTAGGGACTGGGGTCCCTACTATAGGGGAAACTCGCCACCCCAGGAACAACCTCTGGGGGAACAGAGTCTTCTCTGTACTGTGTTCACATAGATTCCCCTTGCCTCTCTGAGATTTCTCACTCCTTCTGTCCCTAAAGCTCTGTGTTTGCTGGGATCCTGCACCCACTCATGCCACACTATTCCTTGTAGGCAATTCCATCCACTCCCACATTCAGGTTTTCAGAAATGACCAGGCCTGTGCTTCAGAAAATCCACATTTCTGGCTTTTTTTTCAAAGAGAGGTCTCAACTTAAAAAAAAATATTCACAACTTATAAGTTTTATTTTATTTGGTGGGAATTTTTAGGACTTCAAGCCAAGGAGATAGCACTTCAAGAAACCCTGAGAGAACTCCAAGGAGGCAAGGAGAGGTACCAGGTTATATAGATATTTTGCAACAAACTTGACAGGTCATCTGAACATCAAAAGATTATTGTTAATTAAAGAAAACCAGATGACCCAAGTCAAGGAATTTAGCACTTTTCTATGTTTGAGAAGCTGCAAGAGTCTGGGTTCACTGAAATGATTGCTTTGATACATGCCTTAGCTTTCAGGGGCCAGTATCCTGTTTTCACATCCCTAAGTTCTTCAGGGCTCACCACAGGGAGTGGTTGCAGTCTGATGGCCCCTGGATGGCAGGTAGTCTTTCCTTCCTAAACCCTAACCCTCACCCTGAGTTCCCTCAGGGCTCACCAGCTCCCTATCTGTGGTGGCCGCTGGTGACTGTGACATCCTTGTTTACTGATATTGCAGGAAGTATTCCATCTCTTAGAGGCAAAATGGGAAAGTTGGCAGATGGCCCCAGATCTCCTTAAAAAGCAGTCTCTTGAGAGTTTAGCAAGCATGGTAGGCAATCCTCATAGCTCAGCCCAGGTCCACACAGGGCTCTTCTCTACCCCAGGGACAGACAGCAAAATTGCCTTTCAAGGCTCCTAGAAAAATGCACTTTGCTCCCTAGTTCTTTGAGCTGTCATTGTGAACCACCAGAACAAATTGGGAGAAGCTTTTCACTTTCCACTTAGGTGCCTTTACCACAGACTCTGTAAAATGTACACCCCTGACTGTAGCACATCACTATGGAAATTATTCTAAGAACAAATGAAACTGGAAATTTTAGTAGATTTATTTGTGTATATAGCATAGCATTATTTTGAAATATTTTTATATAAAATAGGATAAATAAAATAAGTATTTATGCTAACTGATGTTGGGAGTCAAGATTACCAGGTTAGTTAAGGGAATAATCTCTAAATTGAGTTTGAATTGGAAGCCAGAAAATTGTAGAATTTACTGCAGTTACTTTTGCATTTATACAGTAACACCAAAAACCTTTTTTTCCTTTTGATGTGCTCATTTTCCAACACCTATTGCAACAGAGAAAAACAAACCTGACTCCATACTGAACCTATTCTTTTAGCTCTAACCTTTGTGCTCTGGTGCCTGTGCTTTTGTCACGCTGGCTCTGTACCTTTTGTAAAAAGTGTTGTCTATAGCCTGAAATATGTGGGACTGTGCATTCTCTAGACTCTGACCTTTAAAAATGTAACACTTTTACTCATATAGAAATGAAAAGTTGCAGAACAGAGGATAACATTTGTCTTGTTGGAGGCTTATAGGAACATTTAGACCTTATCTACTGGAGACCTACCAGGACAAAAGATATTAGCACCAAGAAGTTTGCAACTAGCCATACCCACCTTGCTCCTTTTAGTATAAAAGAAACCTGAATTCTAACTTAGGTAAGGTGATTCTTTGGAATACTCCTCCACCATCTTCTCAGTCTGCTGGCTTTCTGAATAGTTACCATTTCTTGCCCCAAAACCTTGTCTCTCAATTTACTGGCCTCTTGTACTGTGAGCAGCACAAGCTTGCACCCAGAAATACTGTGACACTCCTTTTTAAGAATTCTCCCTACAACAGTGGCAGAGATTAAAGCAGTGCCCAGATAAAGTCTGCACTTGGGTTTTGTTTGGCCAATGTGGCTTTTTTTTCCCTTTTAAAATGTGAGGTGACATTTCTAAAATGGAAGATTTTACATAGTATCAGAATTTCCAGCTTCTTTGGAGTAATGGGAATGCCTGGCAAGCTGGGTTCTGACTGAGGTGAGCAATAGCACCTCTTGGAAAGAAGACTGTGCTCCAGTTTGCCAAGATTTTCATCACTCACAGGTGTAGGGAAACATTTGTTTCCCACTAATGACACATAGCTGAATTCTTACTCAGTGGTGATGGTCAAAACATTAAAAGCCAGGGCATTGTGCTGGATTGTGGAGAAGTGGATCTCAGGAGAGATGAGGAGGCTTTTGAGACTTTAACAAGGACAGGACTCTGTATACCTGTATATCATTTGAAGCTCCCCTGTTTTTCACTTATCCATTAAGGATGGAAGATACAGAGGTTAGATTTGACTGCTTCAAAGCTAAACTCTCTTTTACTGACACAAAGGCCTACTCTTTAAGTAAATTTTAATAGCTTCCCCCTGCTCTCCTGGCCTCAGAAAACAGGTTGGTGAAAGCACAGTCCCATCCATTCATTCATTCAGCATTTATTGAATTTCTACCATGTGCCAGGCTTTGAAGAAAGGAGGGAACAATAAAGGGAAGGCCTAACCTGTTCTAAACTTAGCAGCTTCTAAGAGAAACTATTTGGAAACAGCGCCCAAGGAGAGTATAGTTTGCTTGACTGGAAGAGAGCCTGGAAAATTTTTCTTTTCAGAGAGAAATTGTTATCTGCTATAACTGTCCTCCCACCTGTTTTATTTCAAGTAATATTTCAGTAATTTATGAATAATATTTCATGGGCAAACACAGCTCATAGAATTCATTTAATAGTAGTACAGTGGTTTCCAAATTTGTGTACACATTGGAGTCACTGGGGAACTTCAGTACACTTATGCTTCTGTCCCATAGGACTTGGTTTGGTAATTTTTTATTTTATTTTCACTAAAGCAAACAAACCTAGTTCACCCATTTCTCCCACCTTCACCCCCACCTCTTACTACCACCAATCTGTTCTCTGTATCTCTCTGCTTGGTTTTTGGGTTTTGTTTTTAGATTCCACATATAAGAGAGATTGTATGGTGTTTGTCTGACTAATGTTACTTAGTGTTAATATAAAGTCCCCAAGGTCCATCCTTGTGGTCGAAAATGCAAGATTTCACTTTTCTTTTTTCGTGGCTGAATAATATTCCACTATATGTATATGTGTGTGTGTATATATATACACACACACACACATATATATGTGTGTCACACACATATATATATGTATGTATGTGTGTGTATATATATATATATATATATATATACACCACAATTTTTGTGTCCATTTATTCATCCTTAGACAATTAGATTGTTTCTGTATCTTGACTATTGTAAATAATGCTGCAGTGAACACAGTCAGTTCAGTTTAGTCACTCAGTAGTGTCCAATGTTTTGCGACCCCATGGACTGTAGCATGCCAGGCTTCCCTGTCCATCACCAACTCCTGGAGCTTGCTCAAACTCATGTCCATTGAGTCAGTGATGCCATCCAACCATCTCATTCAATGAACAAAGGGGTGCATATATCTTTTCAAATTAGTGTTCTTGTTTTCTATGGATAAATACCCAGAAGTAGAATTGCTAGATCACACAGGGGTTCTATTTTTAATTTTTTGAGATACCTCTATACTGTTTTCTATAGTAGTTGCACCAATTTGCATTCCTACCAACAGTACACAAGGGTTCCCTTTTCTCCACATCATCACCAACACTCGTTTCTTATTTTTTTGA